ATACATATATATATATATATATATATTTATATATATGTATATATATATATATATATATATTCGCGAACACTAGACCGTAAACTCGCGCATGTGAACGTATGCTGTGCATGGTGGTCGTACAGCTGTTGGTATGTGCCATAACCCGCACCTTACACTGCTGCACCAAAAACAGCTACAATTAGTGGTGCATCTGTTCACTTAGGACTTAGGATTTAGGGTTTATGTCCGCATACCATGTGGTGCCAAGACAGTCCTCCGGTGCACTCACCATAACCGCACCACCAGCGGTGCCTTCTGAGGGTCATCGTATAGGGTTTCAGAGTTTTGAGTTGTATGTAGGGTTTCAAAATTTTAGGGGTTTACAAGCTTATGTTTGGGTTTTTAGTGTTTGGAGCTCATACCACCCGCACCATGTAACCATCCTCCTCTTTCTTCTGGCTCCCTCTACCCTTTCACCTGGTGTGTTGTGGTGCCTTGTTCGCTTGCAGCGGTTTGAGGCGGGTGACACTCGGCGGGTGACTTTGTTGGACATTGGCGGTGAGCGTGTAGTGCAGGGGGGCAATCGCTTGGGCGAAGGACCCGTCACACCACAGCAGAAGGACATCTACATGGCCAATGTGGCCGAGAAGGGCTTCCACCACGAGCAGGAGCAGACCCCTGTCTATGGCCTGTCCTCTGGTGTGATATATATATATATATATGTGTGTGTGTGTTTATTTAGCTGTCCTCACTTGACTATGTTCAGTTGTGATTACAAGCCTCTAAGACTGTGAATACTCAATCGCGTGCTATTAGCGCTGTGGGTCTGAGTGGGGCTGGTGGACGTGTTCAGACGACACCAGAGTGTGTAATTTTGATGTCATTGTGTGCATGTGTGTACTGGTACACATCTATATACAAGGTACCTCTTTCTGGAAAAAGGACTCTTTTTGTCCTGCAAGCCAAGCGTTTCCTGTATATACCAGTGCACATATGGCTTCACGCCCTCAGACATACCTACCATGCAACAAAGTGTTCTTATACCAATGAACATGAAACACCCTCCACCCACGCACTCACTGAGTGGTCCCTTGAGCTCATGAGCTCAGTAGCTCATTAGCTCATTCGTTATTACCACGTGCCCTGTGCTCCCATTGCAGATGCGGAGTTTGCGTTCAAGATGACCCGTTCAACATACGCCAGCATGTTTGGCCCCACCACAGGCGATTGCGTGCGATTAGGTATGTATGTGTCTATGGTTGTCTCTGAGAAGCATAGTTACTTACAGTGATGTACTATCTAGTTTAGATATAATAGGAGGGATGTGTCTACGGTTGTCTCTGAGAGGCATAGTTATTTACAGTGATGTACTATTTAGTTTAGATATAATAGGAGGGATGTGTCTATGGTTGTCTCTGAGAAGCATAGTTACTTACAGTGGTGTACTATCTAGTTTAGATATAATAGGAGGGATGTGTCTATGGTTGTCTCTGAGAGGTATAGTCACTTGCAGTGATGTATTATCTAGTTTAGATTTGTCTACATTGCTTCAATAGTAATCCCTACGCCATTCGACTATGGTGTGGGCGTATTTCCATGCACGTGGTAGTAAGTGATTGCATGCTTCTTGTGGTATCTTTCAGGTTAACTGTATCACTGCGAGCGGCGTTTCTGTCTATATATATATATATGTGTGTGTAAATATATACATATATATATATGTAGATTATCTGAATTATTGTAAATGTGTGTATTTTATGTTGTATACCTGGTTTTAGCTACATATACCTATATTACATATAGTGTATATGTATATGTGTACCTGGTACCTTCTGACTTGTACCACGGCGACACCACTTGAGCATATCTATACATGAGGCACACATTTGCAATACACACGCACACACTCTAAACACAGTTGCCATACACACGCACACACTCTAAACACAGTTGCCATACACACGCACACACTCTAAACACAGTTGCCATACATACGCACACACGCATCTAGGAATTTGACAGGCGCATGTTACAGACATTCTTGCGTGTGTACGATTGATCTGCTACCCACACCCGCCCTCTCTCTGCACACATTTGCATGGACTAGTGAGGCGTGTACGTGGCAGACAACGCTCATACCAGCAGTGTAATAGGAGCACATCATACCATGCTCAGCACCACTCAGTGCCGTTTGTATTGTGAGAGAGTTTAAGTTTTTGGAATAGACACGACACTGTCATTGCCCCCAATTGTAGGTGACACAGACCTGTATATTGAGGTGGAGAAGGATCTTACCCAATATGGTGATGAGTGCAAATTTGGCGGGGGAAAGGTGCTGCGAGACGGCAACGGACAGGCCAGTGGGGTGAGCGATGCAGACGCACTGGACACAGTCATCACAAACGCACTCATAGTCGATAGCACAGGTAATGCACGCTATTTATATATATGTGTGTGTGCGTGTGTGTATGCATATGTATAGGTAGATGTAGATTATCATGCATATGTAGATGTAGATGTAGATGTGGATGTATGTATATATGTACATTCATATATATATATGTATATATATATATTCCTGTAGATACGTATAAGAGAAGTCTTCCTGGGTGATATTGTAAGTAAGTCTCTGATGAATCTATACACTGCACAGACTTGTCGGCAGCTGTGCATATCCATTCGATTGCTTCCCACGACTGTTCAACTGGTCCTTGATCACTGTTTAGCATTTCAACTCCAATCTTTTGCTCATTCTTAATTTCAAATTCATTTTTTAACTGGTTCTTGAATTCATCTTCACTTATTGACACGTCCTTAATTTTATCTTTATATTTAACTCGCCATTATTTGCCACCTCACCTTTTAACTCGTCCATTGGTGTATTATTTTAGTTCCACATTCTTACTTTAGGGTTTTAGGGTTTTTTTTCTTACTTCCGCTTGCGCTGTTTGTTCGTCAGGTATCTACAAAGCCGACATAGGAATCAAAAACGGAAACATCAGTGCCATTGGCAAGGCCGGCAATCCAGCATGCATGAATGTACGTGATTACATCAAAGTCAGTGTGTGCATGGATGTACGTGATTACATCAAAGCCAGTGTATGCTTGGATGTACGTGACAAGTGCGGGTGTTTTAGCACACCCATCTGAAGGTCAACCCAGCCCATACCTGCCATATGTACCTATCATATGTTGTATCTGCCATATGTACTTGTCATATGTTGTATCTGTCGTATGTACTTGTCATTTGTTATATCTGTCATATGTTGTGTCTGTCATATGTACTTGTCATATGTTGTGTCTGTCATATGTTGTGTCTGTCATATGTATTTGTCATATGTTGTGTCTGTCAAATGTACTTGTCATATGTTGTATCTGTCATATGTGCTTATCATATGTTGTGTCTGTCATATGTTGTGTCTGTCATATGTATTTGTCATATGTTGTGTCTGTCAGATGTACTTGTCATATGTTGTGTCTTGTCATATGTACCTGTCACATTGACCTGTTACCTTCACCTTCCATGCACAGGGTGTGGGTGCTGATATGGTTGTTGGGGTGACCACTGAAGTGATTGCGGGTGAGGGTAAGATCATCACAGCTGGAGGGTCTGACTCGCACATCCATTGGATCTGTCCTCAGCAGTGCGACGAAGCCATTGCCAGTGGTGTGACGACCATGATTGGCGGCGGCACAGGTACACGCACACGTCCTTGGACGGGTCCACATGACTGTTATATGCGTCTGTAATACTTTTATATACGCATATAAATACCAAACCAATACATATATCATTATTATACACTATTCTTTCGTATACTCATGCAACCCTTGTTGTTCACGAATAATAGGCCCTGCGGCTGGGACCTGTGCAGTGACGTCCACTCCAGGCACATGGCACATCGAGCGCATGTTGCAGGTAAACTACGGGTTACTATGACAACCACGCGCAGGTGTCTGTCCATCGCACACGCAGTGTGTAAAAATACATGTATATATATATATATATTTATATATATAGATACAGAGATATAAATAGATAAACATATAGAAATTTATATATATGTATATATATATATAAATAGATATATATATATAAATAGATATATATATATATATATATATGTATATGTATATGTATTTGTATATGTTTGTATATATATATAAATATGTATTATATATATATATATATGTATGTATATTCAATCTTGATTACGACCAATGATCATGTGTTAACTAGTCTATGCTGCATCTAATCTGTGTCGTAGGCCATGGAGAATGTACCCGTTAACTTTGGAATCATCGCCAAAGGCAATTCATCCGAGAGAGAAGGTTTGGTGGAGCAGATTGAAGGTATGCCTTTCATAGGCGAGGTTAGTTTGTCTTTTAAAGTTCGTTGATGTGTGTTTGCTATTCGAGTACGTTGATTTGTGTATGTCGTATGAGTTTGTTGATGTGTGTAAGTCTTATGAGTACATCTCATGCGTGTCAACGTGATTGTTGGGCTTATAGTGTAGGGATGAGTGTCCGGTCTACAACTTATCAATACAATGGTTTAATGAGCGATCGGACCGTTGTTTCTGATTTTGTGTGACCAGAGCTCACAAAGCAATATATATATATATATATATATATATATACGTATATTATATATTATTATA